CGTCGTCCCTGCGGGGTACAGTAATTAAATCTCGGCTCCGAACATTAATATTTCCGTGAATATCTCTGGTGATATTATCTCCGTAGATAGTCGATTCATTGCTGCTCTACGGGCCAAATTATTCCTTTTTCGTCTCTGTTTTCAAAGATAATAGAACAGAAGAGCTTTTTTCCTTCGATCGCCTTCAGCCGCCATGCTTTCTTCACCACGAGTTTAACTGATGAGCATGTGCACTTAATATTTCTCAGGTAGCTTCCGCATGGCGAACGGAGCCGAGATTTAATTACTGTACCCCGCAGGGACGACGTGTGGGGAGGCGGAGAGACTATTAAAAGATTAGGCGGTTTTTCTTTCATGTACGTCCGCCATTTTTAGGTCACCGGCTTTGTAAAGCCTGGCTTAATTCGTTGAGAATGCGCTCTTAATAATTAGTTTCGAATATTATCATATCATTTACGTTTTATTGAATAGGTAAAATTTATAAATTTATAAAAGGTAAATGATATAATTTTAATTCTGTTGAGGATGATTCAATTAATAATCTCATCAGTTGTCTATATATAAATATATTGTGATTCCAGACAAGGTATCGGAGCCGTTACTGCCGGCACTCACACCCAGCCTGTTCTCCAATGTCCCACCCTACATCAACTTTATAATGCCTGGACAACAGAGTAAGGCTTACACACACACACGCACGCACGCACGCACGCACGCACACACACACATATATGCCACACCTTCAGTATTGACTGTAAAACTTGATCAACCACGTGCTGTTGGACCTATTTGATACACATATCACGATGAAGTACATTATTAATATTACAGGGCCTACATCACTTGATCATGAGCAGCTAGATGGCTAGATCATGAATTCTTTTGTTCATTGAAGAGCTTACTCTCCAGCATTCTTTCTTTTATTATGTAGTAAGCAGAACCCATGAAATATCATTAAATCTCGAGAAATTTGCTGAAAGTAAACTTTCGTGTGTGTATGAACAATTCCCAAGGTTTCAGTTATCTTGCACAAAAGTTTTGTTCTTTTGAAAACATGCTCCAAATTGCCTCCTCCATGTTCATATTAACATTTGTTTCTGTGACCATTTTTTGCAAAGAGACATTTTTATGGGTTTCATTGCAGAAGAGCCACTTCCGGAGAACATCCGGCGCCGTCTGTTCTGGTACGAGCCGGGTTCCCCAATCATCTCGGCCACGGCAAACCGGTCTGGGTACGCACTGACCAAAGGTATTGATCTGAACTATGTCTGTTCACATCTGGAACACCATCTATGTCTGTCAGACTGTGAAGATAACCATACCATACATATTCCAACAAGTTGCGACATTTATATTGGCCATTTCTATCTTCTGAACAACCTGTAAATCTGTATTTCAGATACAGTGACTATGCGTACTTTAAAAAATAAATACACTCATAAATATGTTTACTTTATTTTTGTGAAGTCATCAATACTGAATTAGTCAATCATTTAATTAACGCGCTGTTTGTATGTATACACTATCAGACTGAAGTTTTCCCCCGTTGTCTTTAAAATAAGTTTAAGGAAGAGAAATAATTAACATTAAATAAAGTTGATATTGTATTGATTGCATTTTGTAGATGGCGGGTTGTGGTCAGGTTGTTACACTGGGTGTTATCAACCCCACCAAACACACATGTATGCATCCATTGAACCCAGTCAAAAGGTACTTATTATTATTATTATTATTATTATTATTATTATTACGTGCTATGGTATTCTATAGTATTTTAAATGGGGTGGTGAAAAATTAAAACGCTTCTAAAAAGATTGAACGTGCTTTTTATCAATGGAAATATTATATTTATTTTTTTGATTGATTTTTACACTTTACTAACTTGTTAACCATCAGATAGCTACCATAGTTATAGGAAAATGTATTTTTGCACATTTTTGCACATAACGTATAAGTGGTATTATATTATAACGATCAAGGTTATAACAATTA